TACACAGAATTTTAGTGCTAAAGTGTGAATGATTTAAATATTTTGTTGCAATAAGTTGTTGCATGAATTGCAAATGTGGTACATTCACTGGAAAAGGTATTCAGCCAATTGTATTGCAATTTAACAGGTTTCATGCGTGAAAGTGGATGTTGTTGATGTGCCAGACTACTTTGGTTCAGAAAGCCTGCTGACATAACAAACATGCACCCACGCTAACTCATCGCATTTCTCCAGAAAGAGAATCTAAAGATGGACACATGTCCCAGGAAGTACATCAAGACCTTTGATTACTAAAACACACACCCTGACCCAATGCAAAACATTTCAGCAGTATCCACCGAAAACTGCTGGGTTTTTGAAAAACTGACATTCTAAACAGTGTCTGCAGTTTTGAATTCCCTACTGACTTATATTGACACACAGACTCAACACAAACAACCTGAGTACATCTGTTCTTCTGGGTACCTGAAGCCCAAATCAGACATAGGTTTTTAGTATAGGTTATGTTTTCAGTCACCTAATTGTGTTAATAAAACTGTATTGCAACTGTGTTGCAGTTCAAATTTATATTAAATGTATCTGTACTTTTTTTTTTTACTGTTGACCCACTTAAGTATGACTTAAGTACATGTTTATATGTAATTTCATGGTTACTTTATTGTCTTTGAAATGCATGTATGGATAAAAGTGTACTAAGTAACAGATGTACTGACAAGCATTTATAGAAAAATTAAATGTACTTTAATGTTGAATCTGGTTAGTCATCATGTATTTGTAACTACACATTTGCAATGAAGTTGCAATTTCATACATTTAAAATATATTAACTTTAAAAGTAATATTGCATAACAAATGTACTTTAATGTTGAATCTGGTTAGTCATCATGTATTTGTAGCTACACATTTGCAATGAAGTTGCAATTTCATACATTTAAAATATATTAACTTTAAAAGTAATATTGCATAACACTACAATCAAGTACTTTGCATGTGCTTTTGTAAGTCAACACATTAAAATAAGTGTACTTCTGTATGACAAATTTTATTAAAACAATAATTTAAAATGGACTTTAATGCAAACCGTTTAATTTGACATAATTGCATAGTCAGGAAAGTGTACTCTCTTTAAGTAATCTTAAGTAATATTTTATTTCCTTTTAATTATATTATCAGCAAGGGAAGTCTTTAAAAATATACTTTAAAGATTTGAAGTAAACTACAAGTCCATAATTAGTACAATTCAGTGTACTTATTTTTCATAATGGAAGACATGTTGGTTCGTAAATTTCATGTGAATTCTTTTGTTGTATATTTAATATATCCCTGTTGATCTGAGAGAGGACAGACCAGTCATAGGAACGAAATCCATAGTTGAGATCTCTATGATGCCTGTTTCGCATCATACACAAAAGCAGTGTGTAAGTAAAGCAGCATGCCAGCATTGTTCTTTCCAACATATTCAGTTCTACAGTTCTGAGATCTTCTTTAAGAGATATGAAATGTCCTCTGAGCAGTAGATGTTTCATCTTGAGTTGCAGAGTCACATGTGGCTTTGCTTTCTAGTGTCTCTAATCAGCTCTGTAGTTAGTCATCATGAGGAGAGCATGTGTATGTGAGAAAAAAATTATGTGTTCAGGTTGGGACGGAAACGTCTCACTTCCACGTGCTCCTTACCCTTTAATCTGTGTACTGAATCTAAGGGAGACTGGTCTGCAGCGTAGTACTGCTATCTGGCATTCTTTACTGAGACTGTACAGACTCTATAGCATATCTCCACCACTGCAGTCCAGGCACCTTAAATTAAGTTTTTAAACAAGGAGTAGGCCCATCTAATCTTCTAATTAATCACCAGAGCATAAGAGCAGCCATTTACATTGCAGTGTGTCAGTTGTTCCTGCATCTTGCCACCTCTTTAACGTTACTTTTACAGTTTAAATGCCTTGCCTTATATAATCAACTCCATGCATTAGTAATCCCATAGGGGGAATATAAGAGCTCAAATTGAGTCTACTCCATTGCAGACAGAAATCTAAACTCATTTAACCATCCACCCATTCTCCAAACCTGTTCTAGGGACTCATATGGATGTATATGGAATATGGAAACATCTTGGATGGATGGCCATCACAGGGATAAAAACGTGTTTAACCTTTACAGCTTAATTATTAGTTGGCTGTCAGAACTCATGAAACTGCATTTAAGATGCTTAAAGTGCACTCATCTACACTGCAACTAGACATTCTAATATGTCTTCTCCACCATTTGGCAAACTACTGCTGATGGTTTCCAGTGCAGGTAGACATATGAAAAAACCTGCATGTCTTTGTTTCTTGAAGTTGTGTAGCGCATCCAATCAGACCCTTCAGAACTTGCCATTTTTTTTTGCCAATGGATTTGGGTGGTCTGTGGCCATGTCTTCTGAGGCTGAAACTAGAGGCAAACTGGTGGCTTATTCAGCTAAGAAGATGGAGAGAAAATAAACACCAGAGTTGATCGGCCAATGGCAGCGCAGAAACATGAAAGATCATCTCCCTCTCCAGTTCACAACTCCAGAGATCTTTTGAGTGAGACCTTCAGCCAAACCTCATAGTAGCTGAAGAACTTAAGCTTTCCCTCAGACGGCCACAGAGCAGCTCTCAGAGCACAAACATACAGAACTGAGACAGTCTGTCAGACGCCCCACCAATGTAATGACTTACACATACAACTTACATTACCACATTTACACTTCATCAGGAATGGATGGAGGGAGTCCTGCAGTTAAAGGAATAGATCTGCCAAATGTGAAAATTTGGTCATCGTTTACTCTCTCTCGTGTCTTCTCAAACCTGAATGACTTACAGTATTCCTCATGTGAAACAAAAAAAAAGAATGTTGAAGAAGAGTGTGAAGAATGTTGACATTGCTCTTTTACAAACCACCAAAATATATAATGACCATGGGTGGTCAAACTCCAAAAAGGAGTTTAAATCCATAAAAGCAATCCCTATAATTGGCTATATTCTTATTAGTCTTCCGAAGTCATATATTTTTTTCAGGTGGGAACAGACCAAAGTTTATATCATTATTTACTGATAATCTTCCCCTCAGCTCTCTAATGTCATTGCATATTAAAAGTTGGTATGTTGTGGTTGGTTATGCGACGTGAGAATCAGTTGTAATACTGATGTCAGTAACATGTTTTCAAGTTTAAATTTGCTTAAAGGAACACGCCACTATTTTTGAAAATAGGCTCATTTTCTAACTCCCCTAGAGTTAAACAGTTGAGTTGGACCGTTTTCGAATCCATTCAGCTGATCTCCGGGTCTGGCGGTAGCACTTTTAGCTGCAGCTTAGCAGAGATCATTGAATCTGATTAGATCGTTAGCATCTCGCTCAAAAATGACCAACGAGTTTCGATATTTTTCCTATTTAAAAAGGAACTTTGCTGCTGTACCATGGGTGCAGCAGGCGCAATGATATTACGCAGCGCCTGAAAATAGGCTTCTTGGATGTTACCTAGCTGGGGACTATTTTCAGGCGCTGCGTAATATCATTGCGCCTGCTGCACCCATGGTACGGTAGCAAAGTTCCTTGATTATTACGCCGGAATGAGATTATAGTTCCTAGCCATATCAGCCTAGGAAATCGCAACTTTTCATTTTCCGTCGGTCTTAGTACACGATGTAACTACAGAAGAGTCAAGTTTTAAATAGGAAAACTATCGAAACTCTTTGGTAATTTTTGAGCGAGATGCTAATAGTCTAATCAGATTCAATGAGCTATGCTAAGCTGCAGCTAAAAGTGCTACTGCCAGACCCGGAGATGAATGGATTCGAAAACGGTAAAACGCAACTGTTTAACTCTAGGGGAGTTGGAAAATGAGCCTATTTTCAAAAAATAATGTGTTCCTTTAAGCTCATAAGATTTGAGAACTGCAAAAAAGATTTTCAGCAAATAACAACTGAAATTCCACATACAACGCTATGATATGACTTCAGAAGAATATAGCACACAGGTTGTATGGACTATATTTATAATACATTCAAAGGTCATTAACTACTGTATGGGAAAGATCAACATTTAAAAAAAAAAACGTTAATTTCTTTCAGTTGCAGATCAACTGTGATCCCAAGTAAAAGTGAGCCATGGAGAACCAGTGAGACTGTAGTTTAACTCTGTCCATGACAACACTTAACCACAGAAAGGTCCCTGAAAATAATTTTATGGAGACTCGCTCTAGGTGAAAAATGTCTAGTTTTAGTGAAATTAAATGAAAAATCGGGTGGTCCTAGGTAAATTCTTTTAACTCAAGAGAATTGAAGGATTTTGTGTGTGAGGAGTCTATATGCTAAATACAAAGATAGGCTACTGCAAAATGTTGGCAGTTGATTGTAAAAATACCAGCATGTAATTTAGAAGTTCTTAGTTATGTATCTTTCAAGGTTGTTATCCTTAACATATATGATGCTGGCATACAGAAAGAGTATCTGAATGCGCATAGCACAGCTCAGATAATTTGGTCTTGGAAGGATTTGATGAGTTCATATGAGATATCTGACTTTTGATTCAAACTGTTGGTATCTTGGCAATACTGAGCACTGAGCTCTTTTGAAACTAATTTCACAACTCCTTCAGTGAGATTACACTTCTTCTTTATCGTAACCACAAGGTTGTTTTAGGTTTGTCTGCCAGTTTATATTGAGTCTGTGAACCTTGCCAGCCATAAACCAAAGTGCTGCTGTTCAATTTTCCACTGCCCTTGTGTTCAGCCAGCTCAAATATCACAGATTAACTTCTCAGAGAGCAGAACCACAGACACAAAGCTCTGAAGAGCACTTGGCGGATGGACACCCTGTCACAGGCTGTCACGCCAGGCGAGGAAGATGAGTACGATGATGAATGTTAAATGTATTAATGAGAAAAGTAGCAGCACGTGTCTGTGCTCGCCTGCAACCGCCAGAAAGCTGTGAACAGTGTTTGAGAAACAGAAGACGAGAACGAGAGGACTGATCCCTTACCTGGAGAGAGCTCTCCTTCACTCTGATCCCCAGAATCTGAGTCCATCTCTCCACGAAGAACCTCTCCTTTCCTCTCCTCTTCTCTTTTCACTCCACTTCCTCTGTTTCTCTGTCTCTGTGCTGTCTCTCTGCACTGAAAACTGTTTTCTTGAGCTCAAATGCACCAGCTCTCCGTGTTCAGAATATCACTGACTCAATGAGTGTGCGCTGTTTGCCGAGCGCCTTTTCTGTGCAGTCAGACTGCTTTCTTTCACTGACACTCTCTTGCTTCCACTTTCTCCTCTCATTTGCTTCCTTACCCTCCCTCTGCCCCTCTCTCTCTCACTCTCTTTCTGTGTCCCTCCTCCCCCTTCTCCCCTCGGCTCGACATTGTGATGCCTACAAAAACATTAAGAGGAGGAAAACTCTGTCTCTCCCTTTAAGCTGATCTCTTGCCTGTGAGGAATGTTTTGTATGTTGGAGAGTTTTTTTTCATTCAGACATTGTTGGGTGCTATTTTAGGGGCAAGTTTGGTTTTTAATGTTAGAAATTGTTTTTGTGATGGACAAGTGAATAAGAAATGACAGTGGTGTTGAAGGTGTTTTATTAGATTGACTTTGCCACGTCATCCAGCTCAAAAATTATAGAGTAACAAAGTGCCATCACCAGGTCAAGGCTGGTTTTGCTGGTTAGTGTGATCTAGTTAGCCCCTGCTGGTAGATGATGTACCTACACCACTATGAGGGCAAAAAGCATCGCTCTCTTTTGATGGTCATTTGAAGTAGCTGTGTATTGTGATGAAAGAATTCCTTTTTTATTATATAAAGTAGATTTTGTACCATGCTTGGATTGTTTTCCCTTGTCTCCTGCCTTGAGATCTGTATAGTTGCTTGATAAGGGTTTGGAACTGTGTCCGTTCTTGCTGTGCCATCAGTTAGTTAGTGTCATAATGTCATTTTCCTGCAGCTTTTGATTGATTTGTCATAAATCATAAGCTTGAATTTAGATTGATTTCTGTCCCTCCAAAAGTAATAATAATACAGATTATTTCTTAAGTATAACCAAAGTCTTAGCAGCTGTATTCATGCATGTACAGCTCATCTGAATGGAAAGACCAAAATCATTTGTCTGGATTATATTTCAAAAACATATTTCAAATCAGATATAAAATCTGACACCAACCAGTGTTCGATTTGAAGGGAGATGAGAGGGGATGACGTGTCTCTTGTTGAAAAAAAAAATGCCCAAAAGCATCCCCTCTGTAAAACCACCATGCTATTTAGATTAATGGTTTAGTGTTTTATATAAAGCATCTAATGCAAATATTTATAATTTTTACACATGATAATTTACGAGCTATGAATAATGGCTAATGGCCAATCAGATCTCAATATTCCAATGAGCTGTGCACAAGGTCATATAAGTATTTGTCAGATTTGCACTCTTTAAAAAAGGCCAAGAGGACAGTGCAAGGACATCTTTTGACATTCTTTAAAATGAAGAGAACAGAAGGTAAGTCAGCTGTTTTTTAGGACATTCCCCTGATGTAACATTAGAAAGAGTAACGGACATAAGTACATTGAATCAAAAAGGAATCGTTGTCAAGGTTTCATTGAATTATTGAAAAAGAATGCAGTCACCAAGGTGCGCGCATATGCTATGTAAATGTATCTGTGAAAAAAGTCAGGGTTTAGTCCCTAAAGTGTTGAGCTATTTTCTTACACCACTGTTTAAGCAATCTGCACTGAGAGAATTCAAACAACAAAGAGTTTACCATCAGAAATGACCACACTGTCTTTACCATCCACTGTGAAAGCTCTGGAGGGCAGAAAAGTTTGGGGCTCAAAAATAATGTCATTTGGAACTCACTTTTAGAGTTATTTTTTTTTTTTAAATTATGTTTAGAATGACTTTAGAGGCAGTATATGAATGCTTTTTAGTCCCTAAAGTGTTGAGCTATTTTCTTACACCACTGTTTAAGCAATCTGCACTGAGAGAATTCAAACAACAAAGAGTTTACCATCAGAAATGACCACACTGTCTTTACCATCCACTGTGAAAGCTCTGGAGGGCAGAAAAGTTTGGGGCTCAAAAATAATGTCATTTGGAACTCACTTTTAGAGTTATTATTATTATTATTTTTTTAATTATGTTTAGAATGACTTTAGAGGCAGTATATGAATGCTTCCCAAAGTGCCCTCCGATGACATCATTCAGGTTGTTTGGTACACAGGGAGAGTCTTGTGCTTAATCATACAAGACAGTCACTTAAGTACATCTGTAATTTCATAATTACTATCATATTGAAATATGGTTTAAGTGTACTGCCGAATCTACTGACAAGCATTTATGGTAAACTAAAATGTCATTTATATTGAAACTTGTATGTCATGTATTTATTGTAATTACACATTTTCACATTACACATGAATACTGAAGTTGCAATTTAATACATTGAATATATGTTAACTTTAAATTTAATATAAAATAACAAAAAATAAACAGAAAAAAATAAGTCATTTGCTTGTGCTTTAGTATGCTAGTCAACACATCAAAACAAGTGTATTTTAAAGCATGATAAAAGATTATTAAAACTTAATGATTTAAAATGTACATTAAAGTAAAATGCTTAATTTGTTATTATCACAAAGTGCATGTAACAGTCATAAAGTATATAGTTTTTTCAAGTACACTTAAGTGGCCCTTTATTTCATTAATATTATTTGCAAGTACAGTTAAAAAAAAAAAACTTTTAAGATTTGAAGTGCATTACAATTTGTTTAGTCTGGTCCATATAATGTGCAAACAGTAGTTTGGCTCTTTTAAACTGTAAGGTTGGACTACAACCTTCATATAGAGCATTATGATTTCTCTCATTAATATACAGTATCTACAAGTGGACCAGATTTTTGTCTCTATCATAACAGAAAACAAGTGATTCAAATAAACCTCACACACTTGTCTACTGAAAACTCCACCCACAGTGAAACATCATTGGTCAAACATTACTGCAAATTAAAGTCAAATACGTTCTGATTGCCGTGAAGCTTGCAGAATTGAGTTTTCTTTAGAAGCTTCTCTCTGTTTGTCTGTGCAGCTGTCATTGTGTCTGTCCCGTGATCTGTTTGTCCTTCAGGAGTGTCTGATAGCTCGTGGCTCTCAGCAGGGTCAGTGTGGTGGCAGATGGCGTGGAGGTGCCTCAGGCTGAGGGTGTGTGTAGTCAACTGTCACATCTTAATAGACAGATGGTCATGAACTTTCTCTCTTTGAGTCCAATGTATGTCCCAGTTCAGTCCAGTGAAGCAGTCAATCGTCTCGACCCACTCATGCTAAAGTTCAGTTTAAGACTGATGGTAAAAACGTTCATAAGTGAAAGTGTTGTAGTTTTTGTCCAATCACAGCTGACTCTTCGTCATTCATGGCCTTTTCTTTTATTTGGTGGAACATCTTTTAGACCCTCGTGGGTTTTCAAGGCTACAAATGTGTTGGCTATATTCTCAATGGCAGTAACTGACATTTGCCCTTTTGTGTTCTTCTGGTTATTCTGGTTGTTTTTCTACCTATCTCACATAGGCAAAGTACATTTATGGCCATGTAAACTTCTATTGTTGATGTCATTTCTTGTGATTAAAACACTGCCACCTGCAGCCCTGGAGTAATATAGTCTACAACAATTCAAATAAATAAATAATTCAAATAAATGTGGTCTTACTGCACTTTTTCATCTCTGTGCCTGGTATGAAGTGGGCAGAATGCTCATTTTTACCCTTCCAGTCAAATATTGTGCAGCAAACATCATTAACAACTTTAATTTGTCAATGCAAATGACCATATAAGAAGGCATGGCAAATGACCACACAACCCTCAGATGGGGGTCCCAACCCCCTCACAATTTCTGCCTATGCTGTTAAAAGGCATATGGACAAAAATGACAAAATACATTTCCACAGCTCTTTGGTTCATTTGGCTACCTCTATATGTGTCTTTTTAATGTAAAGATAAGGTTCAACAATCAACACAGTCATCCATGATTGCAGGACATCCTGAATTAGAAAATTTGCTTCCCACATTTTCAGCACATTTATTCCAGTGGGAGTACATTGCAACAGCCTTTTCTGACTGGCGAGATGTGCTTATGGTAATTTAGAGCAGGTAGGTCAGATTTTCTGGAAAGGACTATCATTATATTGTCTATCGTGCCAGGCCATCTCACATTAGTCAGAGTCAAGTACATGTCTCAGACTGATCTTGAAGTGAGAATGCTCTCAGAACTCAGAAGATGACTTTGAAATGATCATGAAACAAGCAATTGCTGTCATTAAACACCCTCCATATAGTGCCACAGAAAAGTTCCACAACCATGTGCATCCATTACAATATTAGGCCTGTATTGTATTGCAGCATTATATGTATGTAAAATTAATGTTTACAAACACTTGAGCAAAAGTAATAATTTGCACAAAATAACTAGACAATAATCTCTGCTTATGCAACATGGGAAATGTCACTGCATACTCTTTCACTAAATGGCAGGTATATACAGTATACACTGTGCAGTAAGCAGATATGAAGACATCATACAAAGTCCATTTTTAGGGGTAAGAATTTTAACATTTAACAACCCCTTTTAACATTGAATAGCTTTTTGTCCCTTTATGACCATAAAACCGAACTTTGATGTTTGTGATCTTTAGTCTATGCTCTAAAAATTGGCATTCCGTATATCATAATATGGTGCCCTTCAGTATTATCGTGCAATTTAGAGAAATGTATGGGGTGGTCAGTGGGGTACAGCTGAAACACACTATATCAACTGTACCCGCTGTAGAATGCTATTGTGTCAGATGCTGTCAAGGCCTAGACATTTAGGATGAACTAATGGAGGCCACAACTGCATCTGACACCACAATTAGCAACTCAATAAGAGTAAGTTGATTTATGATTATGTAAATGAGTGAGTTACTCACTTGCTGCCTGAGAGAATGTCATTTGTTTTGCTTTTTACAGTTGTACAATGAGCTGGTTTTTAACTGTTGAATATTTGATTGAAAACTGTTGTTCAGCGTTTTAGAAATGTGCTATTCCTAATCTGAACTCTTAATCTTAGTTGTTCAGTAATTTACAGACAAACTAACTTTTAGATGTGGATATACTGAATATAATAAAGAACAGGAAAACAATGAAGAGCTAAAATCAAATGTGTAGAATGGTATCTTTTAAGACATTAACATTTTTGGTAAATTAGTTGGTTAGGCTATTTTAAGGCATTAAAGATGAGTGATTCAACTCTATTATAGT